GACACACTGCATAGGGTGAGGTAAGAGAGGGCCAAGTTCTGTTTCCAGAAGGCTACTCTTCAAGTGATCATGGGTTAAAGATGACTTTGGAGGCCTTTTTACTCTCCGTGAGGCTATTTTTGTGCTTCAACAGATGGAAAGTCACTTTGAAAATCATAAAGAGCCAAATGTAACTATTAGCATTATAGTTACTGGTTTTTTTCTTAAGATTTTTTTATTTGTAAGTAATCTCTACACGCAATGTGGGGCTTGAACTCACAACCCCAAGACCAAGAGTCCCACGCTCCACCGACTGAGCCAGCCAGGCGCCCCTAGCATTGTAATTATTAATGAGCAGATTTGCCAATGATCACATCAGGAAGATCTCGAGGTCCTGGTTGTGGGAGGGATGCAGGACATGATGCTTAAGGGCTGCCAGGGAGCCAGATGCAGCACAACCCTGGGAAGCAGGGGGAAGAGGCATTAAATGAGGATATCCCGGAGCCAGGGAGTCCAGAAAGGGAAGGTGTGTGCACACGAGTAAATGGTAGGTAAAGATAGACTGTGCCCACCTCCCAACTGCTCGCAGGGCTGATCTTGGTGGCTCCATCCTCTCCCCCGACTGCCTAACGCTTCACCAAATACCAAGTCTTATCCATTTTGCAGGTCAGTTTACTTTGTGATATAACCAATCTTGCTCAAAAACCCAAGAAAATTCTCAGGGGAAAATATCGTATCTGGAATACGTTCCTCCCAATCTCTGTTTCATGAGGCTCCAGTGAGTGTCAAAGCACTGTCATTATTATAACTACATACTTAAGGCATAGAGCAAAGGAAAAGTATAGGTTCTGAAGGCAGAGAGATCTTACCAGCTTCTGCTTTGAATGAGATATTTATCCTGTTTAAGTTTCCATTTCCTCCTTGATAAAATGGGGATATTAATGCCTAGCATGCATGTGGGAGGCTTACCTAGATTATATGTGAAATGTCTGGCAGAATAGGTAGCCCACAGTTGGTAACTGCCACCACCCTCTCCATCAGCAGAAGCTTGAAGTCACCCATGCCATTCTCTTCCATAAACTAAGAAACCCCCCAAACATACTTTTCTTCCTGAGACTTTTAAATAATTTTTGGCATGCTTACTTCTGCCTTTAGCATGTCCTTTATAAGAATTAAAGAGAAAATCCTAATACACCATTCGAGAAGGGTCTGACCTATCTTAACTCCAATAGAATGATCACTTCTTGGACCGTTATATTAAGTCCATTTGTCTTGTTTCTTAAACAAGGACCCGCCTATAGCCCAAATGCCTGCTCTCCTTTTCTGAGCATCACTAGGTTTTTCCTTCAGTCTACAAAATGTTATGTATTATTTAAAAATAAATTAATAAAAATTTTCAAAAAAGGAATGGCCTTGGAGCATAAAATGGTCTCTTCACTAAAAGCCAAAATACAGAGTAGCTTTTGCCAAGAATAAAATTATTTTTGTGGGTTTAAAAAAAATAATGACCGAAATGGCCTAGATCATTACAATTGGCCCCTTCATGGTGAGCAGGTGGGAAGTTCATGGCGTCAGGGCCAGAGCGGGGAGCAGAGTTGCTGAGGGTGACACTGATAAGAGCAGCCACCACCACCATCACTGAGGACCTGGTGTGTGCAAGGCACCATGCTGGGCCTCATAGATAGTGCTACTTTGTTGAGTTCACAATAAAATCCCCAAATAAGTACTATGATTTCACTTCACAAAGAAATGATCAGGCTAGCAAGTACATTGCGCAAAATCCTACAGCTAACAAGTGACAGGGGCAGAATTCACACCCAAGGCTGTCTGAAGATAACAGTCACACTCTTCCTACCATCCCCCTTTGCTCCAAGAGAAGATACCATTTCCCTGGACTGTTATCACTCGTGGAAACCACATGCTTCACCTTCCCGGAGGCCTGGCTTTTAGATATCTACACAGGAGATATGGAGAAGGAACAACTTAGAACGTGAAGTTAACTATCTCCTATACCCAACAGTCTACCAATTTCTGTAAGAGAGGACTGACAAGTACCTACCATGACATCTGCTTCCCTCGTGGCGTACCGGAGATTTGGATCTAGCCAGTACATTAGGGATTTAACCTGATCAAAGTTCAGGAAGAGGAGGAATACCAGGAACAGGAAGTAGAGCACACTGAGTCCTAAGGGAAACAAAAATATTCTTATGTTTAGGAAAGATCTGGGGGTCAGATGCATGACACACATTAGACTCAAGTCACTTATGGCCAAAGCAGACAGTGAAATTGTGACGTAGCGTCCGGAGATCCTCACTACAATCCAGTATTTCCTTTGATGAGTGAGTCTGATACACAGTCTTAATTCAGGCTGAGAGGCTCGGTAATATTCTCAGAAAATGATGCTCAGGTTGAGTCTTGAAGGACCAAGGACCGGCAATATTCAGGCAGAGAAAAGGCATCCAGGCAGGCCCACGGAAGGAGAACCATTCAGGGGCCAGCCTGTGGCTGGGGTGCTGGCAAACACGAGAGAGCAAGGTGGCACTGAAGTGAGGGGGCTTGGGGGCCGCGGCAAGGATTTCAGATTCTACCTTCAGTGAAACTAGGAACACATGACAGGTTTTACATGGGGGCAAGAAGTTGATCTGGGTAACGTTTTACAAGGTGGCCTCTGGCTGCTGTGTGCAGAGTGCGTGGAGGTGGGCAAGGCTGGGTGTGGACAGCCCAGCCAAGGGGCAACATCAGTAGAGACAAGTGGGATGTGCCAAGAGGTGGCCCGTGGCCACACATCCACAGTTTAGACCCCATGTGGGCCCTTCTGGGGTTCCCATCACATCATATCATAACTGGTACCCTAATAACCGCCCCATATTACAATAACCTACTTTTAAAACAGCAAGAGCCTTTTAGAGAGATCTGAAAAACCCCACCAGTGGCTTTATCACTTCTTTCTCCTGAACCTGTTGGAACTGAAACATTTGTGTAGGACACCCAGACACGGTGATACAAACGACCTTGGATCATGTGAACTTGGCTCAGCGCTAATCTCCAATGAGCTGTTCCAGAGGAGACAGTGTCCAGGGCTGGAATGAAGTACCCTGGAACATCTACTCACCAGGTCCTCCGACAGGGCCTCTCTCAACCCTCAGGGAGTTCAGGGGACTTGAGCAGAGCATGGCTGACCTGGTTGCACATCCCAGGGCCCCAGGGGCACACCCGTTATGCATGTTAGTATGAGGATCTCCTCAGGTTTATCACCAGCTGTTTTTAAAATTGTTCACCTCAAATGCCCCCCACTATACCCTTTTGTAATAATCCTTTCAAAACAATTATTCTAAGACAGAAAAAAACCATCTGGGTAGAGCAGGGCTTCTTAAACTGGAATTCATGGTTGAGCTTCAAGGTCCATGAAGCCCCAGATGTAATGTGTGTGTGTGTGTGTGTGTGTGTGTGTGTGTGTGCGCGCGCGCGCGCGCACACACACGCTGGGAAAGGGTCTATAGTCTTCATCAGATTATCAAAGGGCTCCATGATCCCAAAAAGATCTCAGGTAAGAATTATACTGCTAATTACCTATAATGGATCATTTGAAGTAGAAAAAATTCAAATGTAACCAGCCAGCTGAAAACTTATAATTTCAAACAGCAATATTAAGCTCATGAGATGTAAATATGATGCAACCAGAATAATCTATTTAAAAATGTAAATGGGGGCACCTAGGTGGCTCAGTCGGTTAAGCGTCTGACTTGGGCTCAGGCCATGATCTCACAGTTTGTGGGTTCGAGCCCCGCATCAGGCTGTGCTGACAGCTTAGAGCCTGGAGCCTGTTTTGGATTCTGTCTCCCTCTCTCTCTGCCCCTCCCCTGCTTGCATTCTGTCTGTCTGTCTGTCTCTCTCTCTCTCTCTCAAAAATAAATAAACATTTTTTAATGTAAATGGTCACTTTTCTGCAAAAAATCCTCCTAGAACTTCCCACTGCCCTTCCTATCTGCACTGTTTACTGGCCCACGAGCCCTGCAGGATTCCATCCATGCCCAGGTCTAGCCTCTTACTGCAGCCCTAGGGTCTGCTCTGCTCCGGCCACAATGCCCTGGAACACACCATACTTTTTCTGGCTGGGGACCATTTCAGTAGCCTTTCCCTTGGCCGGGCTTCCCCTGACCTCAATCCTTGCATGCTAGATCCTTCTTGGCATTCAGGTTTCCACTAAGCATCCTTCCTTCAAGGCCTCCTTGCACATTCAAGTGAAACCAGCCACTGAGTCATCGTCACCTCACATGGTTTTAATTAACTTCCTAACACTTAGTGGCATCTGATATTTTTTGGTTGTTGATTTGTTTAATAGTTTGTGACAGCTGTCCTCCCTCCTTGTGACAGGAAGGGCCGCTCCTGAGGGGAGTCCCCTGTCTGTGTGGCCCTCCCCTTCAGCCTCAGGACCACAGAATCCCTGCCACACAGAATAAACACCTACTGTGGTTATGAATAACGCCCCGCTCCACACACAGAGTTACTTATGATGTCTGAAAGTTCAAAGAAAAATAGGTGACCTTGAGCAAAATATCCATTTTTAGGGTCCTTTTTGTAACACTACATTTTCTGAACCTAAAATAATTTATTTGATATCTTATTTAGGCAGGACGAAGCCAACAGCTAACATTTGAAAAGACGTGTTTTAAGTCCATTTAGGGGATCTATTTGTGGACTAGAAATCAAGTAAAAATAAGACACCCAATATTTACAGATGTTTATCACTAATCCTCATTTCAAATCAGGACTCTCTGCCTAGAACTTCTCCCTCTCTAGGATCTTTCCTGTTTTCAGTACCTCCTGGCTGCTGACAGGACAAATGGGCTCACAGCACACACCGGAGCTTGTACCAGCCAAGAGCAATGTAAAGGTGCATAAAGAAAAACAAGCCGCATCCCCTTACGTCAGACCTGTGCACAGTAAGACACGACAGCATGCGCGGGGGGGCGAGGAGATCTGAGACAGTTCACACGTATGAGAATCTGAAATTACCACCGATACGTCTGCTTTATGGCAAGGAATTTTCATAAAAATTTATATTAAGAACACCAAAAAGTAAAAGGTCATAAAGTTCTACTGTACAGCAGTAAGTAAAACTGCTATAATGATACACAGAAAAAGGATTTTAAGTAGGATATATCTCTAAATCTACCAATGGGTAACTCACCGAAAACCATTCGCCACAAGGCTGGATGAGGTCGAGTAAATGGACCTGTAGATGGAAAAACATTGGGTTAGAGCGAACTGGTTTTAAACAAAAACTAAAAGCAAAGTGGTCTCTACAGAGATTTAAAAAAAAAAAAAAAAAGGCTCTCTACTGTTAATTTTTTTTTCCACATAAATACTTTTAGGTTGAAGTCTAGGTTGAAATGTTTTTATTCGCATTGTAGCAACTGTCACTACAACTGTTAACAGGTACCAGTCTCCACAACAGAGGTTTCTGTTTTTAAAGCTTTGTCTTTAGAACTCAGACCGTAATTTCCCACGGAAACAACGTTACCACAGTGAGCAGGTTACCAGGATGCCCTGTAAGGGTTTGGAAAATACTACAGTTTCACAAGGAAAATCTCCTGCGTGCCCGTGTGTGTAGCCTGACACAGGGCAGGGGGTAGGTTCTGAAAATTAAACAGGAGAAACACTACTTTGAAAACAAGTGAGGTGGGGTTTGAAATGGAAAACAAACCCTTGGAGCACTGGAACACACTAGTGCAGTGGCTTCTGATCATGAGCCATGGTAACAAAATACTTTGGACACGGCAACCCAGTTCAGACACACAGATGCAACTCTGGCACCACGAAAACAAGTTTTACAGGATGAAACTTACTCTTACTATAAGGCACACACCAATACTTTCTCTTCTACTTTATTCCTTCAATAAAAAGAAAAGAAAAGAAAAGAAAAGAAAAGAAAAGAAAAGAAAAGAAAAGAAAAGAAAAGAAAAGAAAAGGAGAAGCAAGCAAGTTGGGCCTTGATCCACTAAACTGAGTTACCATCCACTGAAAGGTTACATAGTTCGCAAATGCTGAAAACACTGCTCTCATGGGCACCTGACCTACTTGGGGCTGCCCACCCCGTTGGAACGGCCTTCCAACAGACTCTGGGCGCACTTCCAATGTTATGAATCCCACATCTCCCAGGGAGATGCCAGAACTCGCTGCCCTGCCCTCTTCATAACTGGGGCTTAGTTTTTCAGTTGCCCCTGAGCCAGACTTGATCTCAGGAGCTGGTGATACAGATGTTAAGTATGCTGAGCTCTCTCCCCAACCTGTCCCTCTGCCGGGGCTGGCATGGACACTCATGATGGTGGCAAATCACTGCAGAGTGCACACTGGGGTTTCCTCATGAGACCAGCTCTGGGTGATGTGCCAGTTTCTAGGAGCTTAGCCTGGGACCCAGCCTCCTAGCCCTCCCAGGAATCCTCCAGCCAACATCCTAGAAGTCTTTTTAATCAGCAGTCAGCTTCTGTTGCTGGCAACCTGGAATCCTGTCTGAAGGAAACATGACATTGTAATTTTTATTCTGGAACTCATCCTGAATTATCCACCTCATTTTTAAAAGATGGCTTTGAAACATACTGTAACTGCTTTCTTTTGATGGATCAAGTTCATATTAAGAAAAGCAGTGAGTTACAAGGATCCCCTACCATCCAAATCTAGTCAGTTCTGGAGCTTACACAGTGGCAGCTCAGAAGGTGAGTTAGGTTCGTGCAGGACCCTTCTTTATCCAGAAATATGATGTCTGAGTTTCAGATGGCAAGTAGTGAGGGCTCAGAGTGAGGGATTTAAATAAGATGTCTCAAAATCTGATCCATTTCTGAGTTCTTATAGCAAAGGCTCAGACAGCAAGGAACACCTGCATTCTTTTTAACTGGCCACTTTCTTCTCAGAAAGGCACAGTGAGGCACAGAAACCAGGATCCGTTTCCAAGTAACTTAACATGGCTACCCTTCTTCAAGTCACTGGAAAACTGATGGCTAAAATGGTCATCATTTAAGTAATTTTCTCTTCCAAATTCTCTTCTTCACTGCTGTTAGGTGACAGCTCAACTTGTCACCATGAATGACTTTTGTATTATGGTGGCTGTCTGCTTTGCAAGTATTACTTCATCCAAACCACTGAATTAACCTTTTAGACATAACATGGGATCCCAGCTTTCTCTACAGTTTCCTCTTGCAAGGTGAAAGTCAAAAATGATATTATTATTTGGCTTGCAAACAGAATTCCATGCCCAATCAACACTCAAAATCATAAAAGAAGGGTTACTCTCAAGAGCATTCATAATAGTACTTTGCTGAGCACATAATGGGGAGCAGTTTGGAGGGTAAGAGACCCCCCACCCCACCCCGCCATTGTCTCTCAGTTGTCCCCTCAGTTGACAACTGGCTGATGAGAGTGTATGGTCACTCCCACTTTACAGATGAGGACACTGAGGCACAGGCACTTTCCCAAAGTCACACCGCTCACAGGACTCCACTTTTGGCCTGAGAGCACTTCTGTGCTTTCTGATCAGCTCTGTCAGGCTGGGCCAGCTGAAGAGGACAGAGTGGGGGTGGTGAGTGGGGGGCATTGAAGGTTTGAAGCAGGACTGTCTCAAGGCCAGGAGAGTGAGGGGAGAGAAGCAAGCTAGTGAGTGGTGTTTGGAGGTGCTGCTACGTGGAACTGATAAGCAAGGTCAGGAAACACAAGGTCAGGAAGGACAAGGGACAGGATGGGGAACTGATGTAAGTTCCCTCATAAGTCCATCCAAGGTCATCTTCAGCCCATGATCACTTGAAGAGTAGTCTTCTGAAAACAGAACTTGGCCCTCTCTTACCTCACCCTATGCAGTGTGTCCAGGGTAAATAAGAGGAGGGGGTGGTGGAGGAATTTGGGGTTGA